CCCACCCAAAACTTCTTGGACCCCCACTTCTGATATTCCTGAATCCATCCCCTGAGATATAATCTATAACGTTTTAAACCAAAGATACTATAGTCCTCTATGAGGATGTTAAGTCCGCCTTCCCCTCAGAAGCGGCTGCTAAGTTAAAAAAAAACACATTCCATTGCATCTTACACGATATTTACTTGCTTTACTTTTACCTTTATCCCCTTCTCCAGTGATTGGCTCGTTAGCCATTTGGGTGGTCGGTCACATCTCTGTTACGCACTGTTGGCACTTGGCATGTACTGACTTCAGAATGTATCTTTGCCAGAGTCAGACTGGCACTTTGTTCCTTTGTGCCATGGCACACTGGCCCCCCCCCAACAGGCAGTCATTATGGGACCCCCTTTCCTACCCCCCAAAAAAACTTTGAAAGTAATTCAAATACTAGAATAATTTTTTAATTCAAACTCCCAGAGGGTATAAGCTAGGCAATTGCAGGTGCTTTAATCTCTCTGGGTCTCAGCTACCCAGAGAGATTAGAGCACCTGCTACTACCTAGCTTATACTACAGACGGGCAAGGGGAGACCTAATTGAGGTGAATAAACAAACATCTGAGGTGAGTGTCCATACCTGGAGCTGGCGGACAATTGTCCCACAACGGGTCACAGCTCAGGGTTGAAGAAGCCGAAAATCCAGAAAACAGTGAGGGCAAACTTTTTCGGAGTGAGAAACGTTTAACCCTTGGAACATCCTGCCAAAATGTTGTGACAGCACCGAGTGTGAGCTCTTTCACGACCAGACTTGACCAACACTGGAGCAGGTTCCAGGGACAGATCCAGGGGGACCGCACCCCCCCCCCCTTTTCATCAGATTTTTTTTTTAAATGCAATATACTGTAGTACTCAGATGTTTTTGTATTGTAAAAAGTAGTTACTATTGCCCTCAGAATATCTCCCAATATCAAGAGAACATGCTCTCAAAATGGCCTCAAATTGCCCATGATATTGGCGAGATTTCAAAACAATTCTGGGGGCTTATAGCACCAGCTGGGTGGGCTGTTTGTGCTCGCCATGTGCCCCCAAGGGGATAGAACGGGGAAGTTAATGACACAGTCTCTTTTTTTCTATTAACTATTGGTATCGAGATGGATAGCACAGTCAACACACCTGGAAATGATCAGATGAGTGAGTGCTTCTACTTAAAAAATGATGAGCCTGGTGACAAATGCATAGGTCATAGATGACTATCAGTATTAGTGTAGTGAAATGGGTCCCAACTATCATTGCTAGTGGGGTGGAAGGGGCCTCAACTATCATTGCTTGTGGGATGGAATAGGCCCAACTCATAACGAAATGGCACGGCCCCCAAACAGTGGTCAATAAAAACAATTTACATATAGTAAGTAAGTTATTGACATCCAACTTTAGATATCTAGGAATAATTTCTAAGGCAACACATTAATTATTTTGCAGAAAAAAGATAATTACCTACTTAAAGGAATATACTCCCTTCAGTTCTTCAGTAAGAGCGATGGTGGTAGACAGCTTTACACCATTTAATAAAAAAATATCACATTCAGTTAACCAATGTACTTTATTGTACATGTAATTATTTTGAACAGGCTACTATTTTACTACCGATATAAAAAAAAATTTCACTGAGGTCTCCCTCAGTCAAATTGCAACTACACGTAGTGGAAAGGTACCAGTTTCTCGTAACTAACGATCACCGGCGAAAAACGTTGGACATAAAGGCACCCTACGGTCCAGATAACATTCCTTATGTACAGCTGTACAGCCTCCGCTGTATTTCCTCCAGCTGCTCCTAGTGTGAGGTGCATTATTCTCTAAATGAATGTCTTCTCTGGCCACACCCCACAATAGAATATTATGGGGAGTTAAGTAAATGAGGCAGCTACTGAGAATGAAGGGAGGCCAGACTCATTATTAAACTCAGAGAAGTTACTGAGGACTATTTCTGACTTGAAAGTCATGTACACTACTATTGACACTTTCCTCGAAAAGAGAGCGGAGTTTGAAACTCTACTCGGTTAACGAGATTTCGGTTAACGAGTTACCTTCCATAATATTCTTAACTTCGGTTAATGAGCAATCCCTCGATTAACGAGTTTTTTACGAGCCGACTTCAACGTGTTTTCGCTTGCATTTGGCGGTCCACCAGCTGTAGTATTAGTCCGCCAATACAGTAATTGGTTTTAGGGCTTAAATTCCTTACTATTTTGGTAAATATCAAGAAGTTTATACTATTCAATAATTTTAAAAGTTTAATATTAACTTTTTTAGTCATTTTAACAATTATTGAACATAATTGAAGGTAAAGAAACTAGTTTCTGGCATGCCATCCAGCCTGTTAACACACCAGACAGGCGTTAGTCTCTCTCTGTTTTCAGTGGAGGTAACATCTTGCTTGAGACTCTCTTCAACTAAACGCTTTTTTTTCTGTGTTTCCAAGCAAATTATTGGTCATTTTGAAATTTATTTTACATAATGACAATATATAATGCAGTGCAGTGTTGATTTAAAGAAAATAATCTTGAATTGCACCAAGAGAACTAAAATTTTGTGGGTGAAATGGTGCCATGGGGTGACTTCTCTTCCACCCCAATGCCTTCTCTTCTCCCTTCTCCTCCACCCCCATTCTAATTCCCATCATCATCATCATCATCATCCAGGAGCCTTCTACATACACACCTCAAAGTAAGTGTACTTTTCTACCTTTTTGGTTGAATTTAGGCAATTTTCGGTGAGCTGGAACCAATTACCCAAAAACCCATTGAAACAATGGTTTCGGTTAACGAGTTTTTCGGTTAACGAGCAACCTGCTGGAACGGATTGTGCTCGTTAACCGAGGGACCACTGTAGTCGGGGACAAAAGTTCGCTCCCCGTGGTGAAACCGAGTCACGGGAATGAGTCTCCGAACTTACCGTACTTACCCTGACTGTTTTATCTCATTTTGGGCGGGAGCAAACTTTTGACCCCGACTGTACATCAACCTGATATAGTAGAACTGTTGTAGAACTGTTGTACAATTACAATAGAATCAATACTGCCTCCCGAAAGCTGGGAATGCTGTGCAGATGCTGTAGCTACTTCACTCCTGAGCAGTTGCTTCAAGTTTATAAGGGATTCATTCGTCTTAACTTGGAGTACTGCTCTCGTATCTTGGGTGGCTCCTCTTCTGTCCAACTGTTAGATAGGGTGGAATCAAAGGCATTTCATCTTATTAACTCTCCTCCTTTAGTCGATAATCTCTCTTCCCTTTCTTTTCGCTGCAATGTTGCTTCACTCTCTCTCTTTTACAGGTACTTTAACGGGCAATGATCGGTGGATTTGGCATCCTGTGTACCACCAGCAAGGCCGTGGGCTTGTACTAACACTCGTGTTGCCCACTGTGCCCACAGTTTCTGTGTGGATGTCGGTCACACTAGAATAACCCGTTATAGTGCATCCTTCTTTCCTCACACAGCCAGACTGTGGAATGCTCTGCCTTCTTCTGTGTTTCCATACTATATTACAATCTGTGGGTCGATGACCTGTGCCCGGGTGGGATATTCCCTGTAAAAAAAAAAATATATATATATATATATATATATATATATATATATATATATATATATATATATATATATATATATATATATATATATATATATATATATATATATATATATATATATATATATATATATATATATATATATATATATATATATATATATACTGTATATACTTATTCATAATAATTTAGATTTAATTCTTGTACGCTACCCGTGCTTCGGTGGGTGCTAACTCCCATTGCCCTTAAATAATATCAATATTGTCTTCATATCACAAGTCATAGCGAGACACGAGTACCAAAGCACTCGTATTATTGTCCAACCGCATGGTCTTGTGACTCGGCTTGTCACCCCCTGGGGTGTAATAAATCAATCAAATAATAAATAATAAGCCCAACATGACTAAACAGATGCTCACAAGCAGCAGATGCAAGTTGTGGGGTGTTAAGCTTAAGAGATAAGTTACATAATGTAGGCAAAGACCTCAATAACTCCATTCCATCCCCAGGGCATTTCAAGTAGCTATCAAGCTCCTTCAGTTGCAGAGGATTGTTCAAGTGCAGATCCAGGAATATCAAAAGGGGGGATCCAAGGAGTTGTGGGTTGGGGAACATGGCAAGCATAGTGAGCCCACCCAGCTGGGGGGAGTAGGTATTAGGCAGATACCAAACAGGGAGGCACTACTGCCTGGGAAGATTTTGGAAGCATAATGTATTGTCTAATGGTAGACCCTGCTGTCACATAGCATTGCAAAAATTGCGACCAAGTCCCAGGTTGCTGATCCGACTTTCTGCCTCATTTACACACAATTGCAGGGTCTCAATTGTTTCTCTTACTATTGACAACACAACATACATACAATATATTGTTTCTCACTTTTGATCTTTTTGTATTTCTTTATGGTTCTTTATTATTATCGTTATTATTATTACATTTCCGCCCCCCAGCCTCAATGTGGGTCAGTGATCTGTGCCCGGGTGGGCTAATCCCTGTGTGTGGTAAAAAAAAAATAAAAATAAAATAAAAAATACACCTAGGGTCTTAAATCTTTGGCACCCCCTATATTTGCTTCATGCATGCCGCCTCTGGTCTCTGATATTCTAGGTGTAATGTTTATTGTGTATTAATGAGCCAGAAAATCAGTACAGTATAATATTTAAACACATAAACTTAAGAAAACAAATAATAAAAAAATAAATAAAATAAAAATGGTGCATAAAGGAGATATATTTACCCAGTACAACTGAACACACGCACACACACATTTGTTCATTTCTTGTTCCTTTTTGTAATGAAAGATTTTGTTAAACAACTCACTCCCTCCATGTCAGTGTAAGTAATAAGTCATTTTTGTCCATTAATTATAATTATCATCACTATTACAAACACACAGAAGGAACAAAAAACTGTATTAGAAAGGATGTAATAAAAAAACATTTCTCCCTTGGACAAGTGTATTAATCTTCCATGAGAATATTGGACTGTACTTGTAGAGTGACCAAAGTGAGGGAATCCATGTACCCTGGCTTCTGTACAGTATTTGTGTTATATCAACAATACTGTACTCAGATGGTGTCCCTCTTATAAACATTTACACATCAGCTTATTCTCTTACATAAATACATTTTCACCTTATATACAATATTTGGATACAAATAATTCCTATAACAACATTCCAATATCCAAATAAAGAATAAAATTTTGTATCAGTTATATATATTATGATCAATTATACAATAAAAATAACTTCACAATTAAAAAAAAAACCCAATTTGTGGTAAAGTTAAGAGACGATGAACACCTTATCTTATCTTGATGTACTGTACATTACAGTATATTATAAGATGTGTCACTAAACAACACATGGCACCATTAATTATATACCGGTACATCAGAATATAGGAACAACTATAGTTGGTATATACCTGTAATCACTCTGGTATAACACCTGTATAAGGAATGCTGTCAAAGTTCTAACCTTACAATACTGAGATTTATTTTTACTCATTAAACATAAGAAAAATGTAAAAGTGTGTTTAAGCTTAAGAGTTAATTTAAAAGTATGTGTAAGCTAAGCACACACTTTTAATTTAACTATGTTTATGAGTTAACTTGTACAGTACATAAAAGAAAATGGTATGGTTATCGGCTTCTACAGGCGAGTGTTAGTAACACGTATATACTGTACAGTGTACTATTTCGTCTGTACACATTACTCACTAACACCATCTCTCTCTGGCTGGTACTGCTTCAACAGCTTTGCTATCTTCTCAGCCAACTCCTGTGTTGAGGCGCACAACACTCGCCGCCGCATCAGGTCAAATGGGCCACCTGTTACCACCAAAAAAGTTTTATTTCCTAAATATGTACATCACTTTTTTTATAAAATATCTACAGTATGTGGTAAGAATTAGGCAAGAATATCATATATATATATATATTATGCAAGTATACACATAAGACACATTCAGATATAACATGAATAAAGACATCATTTAATGCAACTACAGTACATGCTCAATAATGTTCTGTAAGAAGAAAAAAGTAAAAGAATATAAGCACATGCATAAATTATCTACAAATAACCCAGGCAAAAAAAGCAACTATAAACTCCAACAACTAGAGAAAAGACACATTGTTCATTATACTAATGGTGATTAATAAAGTTTAATTTCACCTCTAAAATGACACTTTCTCACTGTTTCTTGATAAAAGGTGTGCTTGGGAAGCACTGGGAAGCCGTTTTGTATTCATTATGCAAATTTTTGGTAATTTCTTACAAAATAATTGCCTACATATGTAAACAACTAATAATGCTACAAGACAGTACAGTGGTCCCTCGGTTAACGAGCGCCTCGGTTAACGAGTTACCTTCCATAAGATTCTTAACTTCGGTTAACGAGCAATCCCTCGATAACGAGTTTCTTACGAGCCAACCTGAACATGTTTTCGCTTGCATTTGGCGGTCCATCAGTTGTAATATTAGTCCGCCAATACAGTAATCGGTTCTAGGGCTTAAATTCCTTCCCATTTTAGCAAATATCAAGAAGTTTATACCATTAAAAAATTTTAAAAGTTTATTATTAATTTTTTTAGTCATTTTAACAATTATTGAAGGTAGGGTCACTAGTTTGTGGCACGCCATCCAGCCTGCCAACACAGCATACAGGCGTCAGTCTTTGTATCTTTTCAGTGGAGGTAACATCTTGCTTGAGACTCTCTTCAACTAAACACTTTTTTCTGTGTTTGCAAGCAAATTGTTGATCATTTTGAAATTTATTTTACATATTGACAATATATAATGAAGAGCAGTGTTGATTTAAAGAAAATAATCTTGAATTACACCAAGAGAACTAAAATTTTATGGGTGAAATGGCACCATGGAGTGACTTCTCTTCCACCCCTATGCCTTCTCTTCTCCTCCACCCCCATTCTAATTCTCATCATCATCCACCTACAAGCATTAGTTAATACTCCTTTAAGTATGTGTGATACAAGCATTAGTTAATACTCCTGTAAGTTTGTGTCATCACTATCACATACCTGAAAGCAATATTGTAGAAAAAAGTAAAAGCATTAAAAGCTGTAAAGAAAATTAAGCACTACAGTTACATTAAGGTTATGGGTAGTACTACATGCAGAGTCTACATGTTAGTTTACCATTATTGTAGTAAGCTATTGAACATCACCACAATGACATACCCTCAGTATCAATGACTACTCCCCCTGCCTCCTTTATGATCAGGTAACCAGCTGCCATGTCCCAAGCATGAATTCCGAACTCAAAGCAGATATCAACTCCGCCAAGGGCCACGTGACACATATTCAACGTGCATGACCCCATGGCACGTATTCTAAAAGAAAAAAAAATATAAATACCTTTTGTGTGACATGTTAGTAGCAATTAATGATGAATTAATCCTGAAATCCCACTGTACGTATATTTAAGCCGAGGTTGTAGAGAGTCTCTAAGAAGTAACAAGGTACAGTGGTGGTGTGGGCTATGGTACCAACATGGTACAGTGGTGGTGTGGGCTATGGTGCCAACATGGTACAGTGGTGGTGTGGGTTATGGTACCAACATGGTACAGTGGTGGTGTGGGCTATGGTACCAACATGGTACAGTGGTGGTGTGGGCTATGGTACCAACATGGTACAGTGGTGGTGGGCTATGGTACCAACATGGCGTACATGGTACAGTGGTGGTGTGGGCTATGGTACCAACATGGTACAGTGGTGGTGTGGGCTATGGTATCAACATGGTACAGTGGTGGTGGTACGGTACCAACATGGTACAGTGGTGGTGTGTGGGACAGTGGTGGTGTGGGTGGTACCAACATGGTACAGTGGTGGTGTGGGTTATGGTACCAACATGGTACAGTGGTGGTGTGGGCTATGGTACCAACATGGTACAGTGGTGGTGTGGGCTATGGTATCAACATGGTACAGTGGTGGTGTGGGCTATGGTACCAACATGGTACAGTGGTGGTGTGGGCTATGGTACCAACATGGTACAGTGGTGGTTTGAGCTACGGTACCAATATGGTACAGTGGTGATGTGGGCTATGGTACCAATATGGTACATTGGTAGTAAGATATTGTTGGAGGATGGATTTATATGTACTGTGCATTACTACAGTACAGTACAGGTACAGACAATCCAGATATCTTACAGTGCACTGTGTGTGTGTCTTTGAATGCACCTACCATACTTTAAGACAATTACTTTAATAAATGATAAACTGTACTACTGTATATGAAAAAAAATATTAAAAACAATTTTAAACAATGAGAAGTACAATAGACAATGAGTTACGTGAAAATAGAAAAAGGTAGGAGGAACAAGGGAAGGTTTCTTTTGTATGATAATATAAAGTGAAGACATCAGTTTAGGGCACGGGTCCGCAACCTTTATATAATAATAGGCCACATTACAAACAAGAAATCAGTCATCAACCATTGCCATCACTCAGTGTAATTATGCAATATGTATTAAATTCAGAAAAATAATGCATGAAATTGAGTTTTAAGAAATATAGAGCTAAGCCATGTACTGTATTCAGATAAATATACTGGTAGACAGAAAAAAAATTTAAGTAACCTACTGTGGTACAGTAGTGTACTGCACTTGTTCTTTATGCAAATCCGCTGGCAACAGTAGGTTGACCCAAACATCGAAAACACTATGAAATCTACTCGTTTCACTGTTACCTGATGCACTTCTTTCCCCCAAAAGTCCAACAATGACTCTGTTCTTTTGTGAGTGTGCTTCAAGATACTGTATTAGTCTACAGGTCTAGGAGCTACAACTGTGCATCACCAAGATTTTCCTCGTCAATATACTGTATGGCTAACAGTGGCTGACCTCATTTGCTTAAAAAGAATAGGATCCGAAACAAATTAATAAAATTTTCTTACTCGTTAATCTTAAAAAAACTATGCATCTGTGAATTCTGACTGAAATTGTAACAAGCATTACATGTACCCTGTACTGTACTTTTGTGTGTGTAGTCAGCTGCCAAAGTATAAAGTTTCTTAGTCATACAAAGAGATTAAGTGTTTGCTGCATTAAGTGTTCAAAGAGCTTTATCTTACCTTATCAACTTAGCCGGCCGCTCATAACATTATTTGGATATCATCAAGCCAGCCGCAAATATTAATACTGTACTGTATTCTGGTTACATACGGCCGGAAATACGAGGGTTGTGGACCCCTGATTTAGAGGTACAAAGACTAATATTTACCATAATTATAAAACTATTTTGTGATCATCAAACTACTTCTTACAACCTCAAGAAATAATTATCATGTCCACACAACCAAGAATTACAGTAACATGTTGTATACTGTATCTAGTTAACAACTTTGTAGCTCACCATGCCTATAAGTTTGCAGCTCATAGTTAACAACCTTCCGGGGAACAAATCCTAAAAACAGAACAAATTCAACAACCTTCCAGGGAACAAATCCTAAAAACAGAACAAAACAAAAGTTAACAACCTTCCGGGGAACAAATCCTAAACACAATAACAAAACAAAAGTTAACCTACCAGGGAACAAATCCTAAAATCATAAACAAATCCTAAAATAAAAAAGTAGAGATGGATGCAAAGTTTAATATTTAACAAAAGATAACACTGTATAACAAAGAAATTATACAAACTAACAATGAAAATTGTTATGCTTTTTAAGGTGTATATAATTAAACTGATAGTTTTTGTGTATCACACGTTTTTCTGTATTTTAAAAGTGAATATAATATGCTAGACCCTTTAAAGGCACGGTTTCAGAATGCATAATTTCGGCTGTATAACATTTTTGCTTTGTTCCCACCCTTTGAAAACACTGACACTAACTCCAACAAGTGATAATTCTAATACAAGCTGTTCAGATTTCCAGCCAGAGGCTGACGTTCACAAAGTATTTTGGAAGTGTAATAAGATCCACCTGACTTTTCACTGATGTATCAACCTACAGTGTAAAGGCAGTGTTGCTGCATAATGGCAATGTTTTACCTTCTGTACCAGTTGCATATTCTGGTGTATCTTGAAGGAGACTTACGATAACCTTGGTTTTATTCTCAACTGTATCAAGTATTCTGATCACTGTTGGTCTATCTGTCCAGACTTAAAGGTTGTTGCACTTTTACCAGGACTGCAGATTGGATTTACCAAATAAATGTGCTTTATACATCCCGTATGTGGGACAGTCATGCCCGAGCCTTCCAGCTGCCATGCTCTTTCAATAAACCGTTAATAATTATTACTATTATTATTATTATTATTATTCATTACACTCGCAAAGTTTGGCCACCATACAACTCAGTCATTCCTAGTACATTCAATGTAGATTGTGGCCAAAGCTCCATTGGTTCCAAAAGACAAGATTCTGTTGCCACCAGTGAACATTAAGCTTGGTTTTGTCAAACAACTGGTCAAGGCTATGGACAAGGATCCTCTAGCATTCAAATACCTGTTAGGAAAGTTCCCCAAATTTTGAGTGAGTGAGCGAGATGTAATTTTCTTCTTTTTTTTTATTCAGTTACATGCAAACACAATCGTATCATAAGGTCAAAAACATTTCTTACGTGTGTAGGAGTTAGCACACAGGTCGGGGTAAGGGGATCTCAGCTGTTTGTTGTCTACTGTGTCTCATGTAGTGAAACAATTACCAAATGGCCATGCAGTATTTTTTCTTTTCTTTTTTTTATTAATATTGTAATATTTCTATTGATTCCTCACAATTACTGGTGCAGTATACATTATTTTATGTACAAAGAATTGCTTCTTCAACACTCAAACCATTCTCTGGGTGACATGACACAGTTCAGCCGGGTAACCAGCTGACTCAAATTGGGGAAGGAAGGAAGGGAGGTAGGAAAGGAGGGAGAGAGCGAGTGCAGCTGGAATGGTGAGTAAGCGACCCAGTTACAGCTCACTGCCTCCACACACAGATGTTCACTACCCACACATACACATCCATGGTCTTCATTTTTCTGATTTTAGTTTTATATTATATTTTCGTTATTTCTATGCCACGTTAGAGTACGTACATTAATACCTTGGTTAACACTCAGGATGTGTTCCTGGATAACAGAGCGTTATCCAAAACAGCTCTCTAAAGGGCATTATAACATTGCATAAATGGAGAAGCATTCCTGATGACATTATTTTTTATCAATGAGATATATACAGCTGTACTGTACAATATTGTATGTGAAGGATACATGCATTAATAAACAAAGATTATAACAGTAAGGTTGTTGTGGATTCCTCCCCTACAAACGCTGTTTGTCGCTGAGTAGCCGACCCCGCGAATTCCCCAGTGCATGCCTCGTGGTCTAGGTCAACCAGCACCGCCTTACATGACGGAGGTCAACTATTAAGCCACGCCTACCTCCGCTATATAAGACCTGACCTCGTGGTGACCTACCTCTCTTTTCTACTTACAGCCACCAGCAAGCAACACCTCCTCCTCCTCCTCCTGCCTGGCGGTCCTCGCTCCCGCCGGCAACCATGGCGACCCACAAGCTGGTCCTCCTCTGAGCACCGTCACCAACCAGCTCTCTCTACTCAATGCTTGTGAACATACTGCCTTCCCAGCACTGAGCTGCATTGTACATCTAATACAATATGTATACAGAGAGCACATTGTGAGTTTCCTTTCTCCATCCCATCCTGAGTGTGAACCCAAACATAACATACCCCACAAGGTTTCCTTACTAGTTAATGAATAACAACTAAACAATAATGTACCATGAATGACAGTCGTATGATGAATAGTAGTGACAACTGTAGTATAATGCATGTGAGAGGCAGTGTGTCAGTGAGGTGAGATGCAATGCGTGGGAGGGAGGGAGAGAGGGAGTCAGTGGATATCATACGGCTCTGCTCTGGCTGAAACTAATCCATCTTTGCATCACTAAAATTATTATTTAGGTGGAGATAATAGACATAGTGGTGATGATGGAGGTGGCGAGGGAGATAGTGGTAAGGAGGTGAAGTGTCTATTGGTTTTTGGTAACACTATGCCTGCAGCACTGCCAGATGCTATTGAACAGTTGATATCCACCCACAAAATTGAATGAAGTACAGGGTACAGTGGACCCTCGGTTAACGAGCACAATTCGTTCTAGAAGGTTGCTCGTTAACCAAAAAACTCGTTAACCGAAACCATTGTTTCAATGGGTTTTTGGGCAATTGGTTCCAGCTCATCGAAAATTGCCTAAAATCAACAAAAAAGGTAGTAAAGTACAATTACTTTGAGGTGTGTATGTAAAAGGCTCCTGGATGATGATGATGGGAATTAGAATGGGGGTGGAGGAGAAGGGAGAAGAGCAGGCATTGGGGTGGAA